GGACCTCGGGGTGCTGGTTGACTGCAGGCTGAACATGAGCCAGCCGTGTGATGCAGTGGTCAAGAGGGCGAACGCCACCCTTGGTTGCACGGCCAGAAGTGTGGCTTCTAGATCAAGAGAGGTATTACTACCATTCTATACAACTCTGGTGCACCCGCAACTGGAGTACTGTGCTCAGTTTTGGGCCCCTCAGTATAGAAAGTATATAGCCAGGTTGGAGTCAGTGCAGCGCAGGGCCACAAGGTTGGTGGCCGGTTTGCAGGGGATGCCGTATGAGGCGAGACTGAGGGAACTGGGTCTCTTCAGCCTGGAGAAGAGGAGACTCAGAGGGGATCTGTTGGCGACACACAGGTATGTGAGGGGGTGTCACATCGAGATGGGTAGAGACCTGTTCTCCCCTGCAGAGGAAGGCAGGACGCGCTCCAACGGATGAAAAATCAGGGAACCAAGGTTCCATTTAGGTTCCGAGGATGACCGCGAGACGCACCACTGGACCTGGGGGCCAGCTGACGCCGCTGACTGTGGTCATCGCTGGACCTACCCGGGGCCAGAGGATGCCGAGGACGTCAACGACAACGCCAGGAACGCCATCTTGCTGGTGAGTTCTTCATGGCCACCCTTGCCTCCCCCCCCCCGATGGCATGGGTGAGAGCTACGCCAGTTTGGGGGCAGGGCGTGGGGACGAGCCACTGGCATAACTCGCCGGATGTGGCCGGGGCACCGTTTGGGGCCGTGCAGGGGCTGGGCTGGCCAGGGACCCTGTTGGTTGGGTGGAATTCTGTTTTGGGTGGTTGAAGGGGAGTTTTTAAAGGGTTTTATTGTATTTTAACTTAATTTGAATGGTTTCATCCTGGCTATGACGGCGAGGTTGCCTGGGGAGTGCATGGGCGCTGCCATTGGGGTGGTCATGGGCAAAGGACATTATGGCGATGGGGGTTTAACGAGTCGGTGTAGAAGAAGGAGGGACAGATGGTTGACACCTGTTCCCCCTTCTGGTTATTCCGCCAGCCGGAGGGTTCCAGGTAGGCTTGTCAACTGCCCCCCCGACAAGCGGATTTGCGGTTCTGCGTTGCTGCACCCGTCTTTAGTGCAGCCGCACACCTCTGATCACGGACGCCTTCCCTGCACGAATGGAACCGCGATCGTGGCCATCTCCTCATGGGGCGGGGGGAATGGCTGCAATCTCGGTCGCCACCCAAGCTGGGGTTCACAACCCAAGTGAACATTTTTCACTCATTTTTGTTCATGATCCGATTTGTTTGTGAGCCAAGGGGTTCGTGGGCCAAGGTACCACTGCCCTGAGGCTGGCGGAAGTGGTTTTTCAGACTCGGGGAGGGGCCTCGGCTGCTGACCACACGATGCGGCATCAGCAGGGGCAGGATCCACATTAGAGGATCCTTGTGCAGCAAGCTGTGCTCGTTTTCAAAAAGGGATGGGGGCCGAGCATGCTCAAAAGGAGGGAAATATTAGTCTGGGTTTGACAAACCACTCTGCGCAGGGTCAGAGATCCATTCCGGGTGCTTCGTGCTTTTGGACAAGGAGGAACGCTTCGCAGGGGAAACCTCCATGGCTTTGAATGCACCAAGGAGGGATCCCAGTTTCCCACATCTGCTTGTTGCAGGATTGGGTCCTCCTAACGTCCTTGCAAACCAATTTTGGGACTGAGACATAAATACCCCAGGCCCCGAGTTAAACCAGACTCTTTCCCAGGGAAGTGTTGCCAGAATCTCAGTTTTCAATTTGTGAGGGATGATCCCTTGGCCTGCAGGGAGCAGGACCTCTGCTGGGACCTCCATGCCTCGTTTGCTTAGGAGGGAGGGAGAGAACCTGCTTCTTCTCTCCAGGCTGGCGATGGGGCCAAACATTTGCCCCTTTGCCCTCCCAGGTGCAGTGAGGGGAGAAAAGCGGCAGCAGTGGCACAACTCCAGCAGGAAAGTCCGCCTCATTTCCCCTGTAAGTCTCCCCTTTCCTTCCAGGCTGGGCCGTATGCAGACCGCCGCCATGCAATGTGACCACAGCCATTATACATCCTCCTCAGAGAATCAGAAAACCAGACCCGGAGATAATCGGGAAACCAGACCCGCCAAGCCGTGAACGGCCCCGCCGGACCAGCCGGCCCTGGGATGCCGTTTCAAGGAGAGGCTCCTGCGTCCGGCCCGCTCGCCATCCAGGCCCCTTGCGGCAAGCGCCCCACAGGCCTTGCCCGCCCGGCCCGCCTCGGTGTGTCCCGGGAGCCGCGGACTTTCCACTTGGGGCGCCGGCCTAGCAAGCCCGCTGCGGCCGAGCGGAGGCCGCTTCGTCCTGGGCGGCCCGTCGGGCGGTGAGGCCCCGGGAGGGCACCTGCGGCCGCCGCGCGGTGCTCCGGCGCTCGGCGGCGCCATCTCGACGCGCCGGGCCACACCGCACGGGCAGGGGCGAGCCGAGGCCCCGGCTAGGCCTCGCGGCCGCCCCTCACACCCTGGGGCCTCGCTCGTCCGGAGCGTCCCCCTCCGGCCGCACTTTCCTCCTGCGCTTCGCGGGGACGACGAGCGGCCCCGCTTCTCTCGCTGGCGGAGCGCGCCCGGCCCCCCGCGGAGGCCTCGCCCGGCAGAGAGCGGCCCACGCCGGGGAGCGGGCGAGGCTTCTGCGCGGCACTCGCGGCCCTTTCCCACCAAGCCGCCTCATCCCTTGCGGCGCCCTCGGCCGAGGCCCGGCGAGGCCGCCGCCGCCCGGGCCTTCTCCAGGAGCGCTCCGGGGCCGCGGAAGCCCGGTCCGTGGGCGACCTGGGCCGGGGAGGGAGCCCCGTCCTCTCCCGTAGCTCGCCTGCGGGCGCGGAGGGAGAGGCGCCCGCGTGGTCGGCACGACGCCTCCTGAGGCCCACTCCAGCCGCCCGGGGCCTCCTCCCCTGAAAAGTGGGGTGCCCGACTCCCCACATCATCATCATCATCATCATCATCCCCAGGGGCTGCTGGCTGCGACGTGGGGATCCAGTACATTCGGGCCACACGAGGCGGGGAGAAGCCATGAATCCTAACTTTACTGCTGCTTTTCTGTGTCAGGTTAGGCACAGAAGTGCAGGTGGGAGTCAGTTCTAGGTTTTCCCTTGCCTTTAATAACAGAAATTCAGCGGGTGCAGCTGCCCCACCAGAACAAAAACGCAGCTGCACCTGTTGGATTTCCTCCTGTCAGGCAGTTGTGAAAGATATGGTTTATTTATTTATTTGGGGTATTTCTAACCCATCTGTTACTCTACATCTCTGGACAGCTTACAATAAGTCACCCAATAAATACATCATCATAACCCACAACCGAAGATAAAAACATAATTAAAATATTTAGACGTTAAAATACCAGGTAAACAAAATAAAACGGCACTACCAGTTCCTCTTCAGGGTGTGTGAAACTCCCACTGGAACCCTTGCCTTTCTTCCGTTGTCACATCTCTGGTCTCATCCAACCCGCCTGCTAATAAATCATAAAAGCGGATTGGCAAAGTCCCCCTTTCTCTTTGGGTCGGGCATGGTGGAGAGGAATGTTGCAATCAAACATATGCACTTCCTAAGAATAAAATAATTGATATTTTATTTATGTCTACGCCGTAGCATCCGTTTTTGAAAAGCGGTGTGATTTCGGGGGTGGGGGAAGTCAGGAGAAGATGCACAGACGGGCAAAAAGCCACCCACTCTGGGAACATGAGATGCGATAGAGACCACCAGAGCTTCTGGTACTTTATTTCAGGAGGGCCTGTGGGCAGGGGGCCTCCTGGCAATTCCGGGCTCCAAAGAAGTTTGGGGGCTCCAGCCCTGGGAGCATCCTGTACCCTGTTTCCCCGAAAATAGGACCAAACCTATTTCGGCAAGGGGCGGCATAGAAATGTTATAATAATAATAATAATAACCTGAACATAAGCATTAGCATGATTCTTCCAGATGCTTATAATATAAGCCCTACCCCCAAAATAATTCCCAGTTAAGATCATCAGCCAGACGGATGCATTTAGGACATCTGTTGCAACCCACGACAGACATATTGAATGCTAAAAGAATAATATTAATATAGAAATAAATAGATCCTCAACCAGACAGACGCATTTAGGATGTCCTTTGCAACCCAGGATGGATGGATTGAATTATAAAAGAATAATATTAATATAGAATTAAATAGAAAGATAGTCAGCCAGATGGACGCATTTTGGATGTCCGTTGCAACACAATTCGGGGCTTGGAGAGTTAGGAGAATGTTCCAGAGTATGACATGACAGTATTTGAATAAATGTAGATTTTTGTCTATGGATAAATACAGATTTTTGGTCATCAATAAATTAACAAATGTAGATTGTTGTCCATGAAAAAATATGACATCCCCTGAAAATAAGCCCTAGTGCATCTTTTGGAGCAACAATTAATCTAAGGCCTGGTCTTATTTTCAGGGAAACACGGTAGCATTGCCTCTGTCCGCCACTCCTTCCCTTCTGGCCTGTTTTGTGGCTTCTCCCAGAGAGGCAGAGGAGTAGTTATTTTTAGCCGTGGAAGGATTGCTTTGCAAGAATTCCTCCTAGGCTTGCAAGGGTGTGTTGTGTGAATGGTGGGGAAGGGTTAACCCCCGCTTGGCCCCCACACCTTTCTGTACGAATATTAATATGCAGCAGTTGCTGCAGGGTGGAAGAGAGAAGTCGCAGGAGCCCAACAACATCCAGCAGCGGGGAGAAGACCGTGGGGGATTCCAGCACCGCCGACGTGCTCTCCGGCTGCCCCCCCACCCGTGGGACGCCGTCCAAGCTTGGTGGGACATGCTCCAGAGCAGCTGTAGAGAAGCATGAGGGGGGTTTTGCAGGCACGAACTGGCTGCGCGAGCCCCGGGGTGGATGCTCGGCACTGATTAGAAGGTGCAGCCCTTTCTGGAAAGCTCTGATGTTTCTACCGCACTCCAGAGGAGAAGGATCCCACAGCATGGTGGCCAACGGGGATTCCCAGGACCCCGCTGAAGCTGGGCCCTGGAGGGCACGACCTGAAGACTTGAGCCCGGAGCTGGCCACTTTTGACACCCTCGGCATCTGGTGAGTATGTTTTCCTTCTTTTCCGAGGGTTTCATCTTAAGGGAGAGAAGCTGCCGTTACTGACAAAAAGATTTTTTATTTGGGATTTTTATCCTGTCCAATTGCAACACGTCTCAGGACGGCTTTGTGGGGTGGCTCATGACTTCCCAGCGAGGACAGATGGAAAGGTAGAGGCGGAGCAGCCCCTGTGTCCATCTGTGTTCCAGCTGCACCGCTTGGACGGGACCAGAACATCTTGCTGTGGTCCCCTCGTTAACCTCAGCCTGCTCGGCCAGCTCCATACATGACTGATTTGTACATTGCCCAACCCTCTGTTGCCAGTAAGGCAAGCTCCCTTTTCAGAGGGGTATACAGATCTTGGAGGGCTTCAGTTAAGCCCGTCCTTCTTCCAGCTTTGCTTCTACAAAGAAGTAGGATCAGAAGCACAGAGTCCAGTGGCTTCACCGAGAACATAGGAACATAGAAACAGAGAGAGGCAGAAGGAGCTACCCAGGCCATCTAGTCTGACCCCGGCTCCAGTCGGCTCTGCTCATGACATGCCTATCATGTGCATGTCTAGCCTGTCCTTGAACACCCACACCGATGGGGCCTCAAGCACCTCCCATGGAAGCCCATTCCATGCCCTCAGGGTCCTAACTGTCAGAAAGTACCTCCTGCCATCCAAATTGAACCTTGGTTCCCTGAGCTTTTGCGCCAAACGCCCTGCTGAATTTCCAGCTGTGGTTGGTTAGATGAAAAACAACCCCCCCCCCACCACACACACACACAACTTTGCCGTGGGAGGTGGTTTCTGCCCAAGGGAGATCCAGTGACCCCACAAGGCTAGCTCGAACACATCCCAAAGCTGATAAGGTGCGATCTCTGCCATTTCTTTTCTCCCTGCCTGGAAAGTAGCAGCAACCCCACTTGCTTGCATGGTGTTGGGGAACAGAACAATAAAATCCTTTCTGTGAAATCATCTTTCTGCAACAATTTAGGACAGCTGTATTGAGGAAACGCATCCTGACTCTAGCGACAAATTCTTCTTAATGGCAGTTGTGAACTTTCCGTAGTCCAGTTGCAGTTTCTTTCTGGAAATGCACCTCGGCATGGACCAGGGACACTGCCCGAGAAACGACAATTCTCCCACACCCGAGAAAGAGCAGAGCTTTCCTTAAAGTGCCTAGAGGAAATCTGTATACCCAGGATGACAAGGCGAGAATGCCACTCTGTATGTGTTCGGAGCCCCTGCACTGAGCCGTGCTGGCCCCCACAGAGCCCTGGGGCTCAGCTGGAAGAAGGATAAGGAATTTGGACGGGTCCTGCTGCTCATTCGTCTGTTGTGTCCACACCCTGTCTGTTGCTTGTTTTTCCCAGTTAACTCCCCATCCTTGCCAACCACTCACCCCCCAGCATGTTTCAAACTGCACTCAGCTTATTTATTTACGTATTTATTTGGAATATTTTTCTCCCGTCCTACACAATCCAATTGTCCCAGGACAGCTTCTTTCTTTATTTAAAACATTTGTATCCTGTCCTTTCCGATAAAACGGCTCAGGATGGCTTACAAGAATTCAAACAGTAACACTAATTCATTAATTAATGCTAACAGACTAATTCAATAACACAATAATTAAAACAATAGATAATAGGAAAGCATAAAACCGATGCTTTCATAAAATTCAAGCAAAATATAAATTACAATACAAATCAACAATAACTACACGAACAATCGAAAACACAATAACAAGCAAACAAAATACAACTGGGAATATAATCAAACCAGATTAAAATGATTTAAACCTTAACATGTTGGACAAATGGAAAGGCTGTTGTCTCCTGCGGGACCTGGCATCTCAAAGGGAGCAGGTGTGGCATCGGTGCAACCTTCGGGGAGGCAGAGATGCCCTAACCTTCTTCTATGATTTTATGTTCTCCTTGGGTTCATGGAGTCCTCGGAAAGGCTGGTGGAGAATGGTGGCATTCCGTAATTCCTTGTTCATCCTTGGAGTCCATTTGATACAGCAATATGTTCCCCCCTCCGAGGGTATCATAGGTATGTAACGAGTGGTAATTTGTGGGTGGGGGGGGGGTTTCCGAATCATTGAGACTGGAAGATAATCACTGCAAAATGTTGGGGTGACCTCCATGTCCTCTAAAAGAGGAATCAAGGGTGCTGAAGCAATGAGGTGGTCTAGTTGGCTCATTTTGGTTCCTGTATCTTCCTTCACACATCACATCTTCATTTCGGCATCTGCTGGAATCCTTCATCCTTCTGGGCCCCAGATGTCGACTGGTTGGAGGGTCCAGCTCCCTCTGGAAGGACCTCTTAGTGAAGAACAGAACTGACTTGCAAGCCATTGCGCTGGCCAGTCACTATGGGCAAATTAGACCTCACGTTGAGAGATCAAAGAGTGAGCCTTAATTATTTTAAAAATAAATAATCAACGGATTCAGGACTCCATCCATCTGGAACTGTGATACCGGAGAAGGAGGGTTGACTGGTCCAACGCTTGCCACCCTAAATCTTTGAGAATGCTACATAACATTGCCCAACTATGGAAAACTCCACATTCAGAAGTATGTACTCTACTTCTGAATCCTGGATTCTGGAGACAAATATGAGAGGAGCTCATCATGGTCCGATCTAGCAGGGCTTCCCTGATCATCTCACTGTCCATGAAACTGCAGCCCACAGCCTCAACCACCAACAGGATGAGAAACTTGATTCAACCGTTACGGGGGCTGCTCCCCAGCCCAAAAAGGCCACCGAACACATTGCGTGTTGTATGCTGAAGCTGCGTGGGCTGTGGAGGAGCAGGCACATTCCAGCAGGCTCAATGACCCGCCTAGCGGTGATTAATTTGGGAGGCCTGTTCTAAACAGACACGGTCCTTGGAGTGATGAAAGATGAGATTCCACCAGCTTTCCACAGCTCTGGATGACTCACATGGCATGGAAAAATCCCCAGAAACTCAGCCGTGTCCTTGACTCTCCCTCTCCAGAGCATCTGTCCTGCCCACTCGGGCTCTTTTCTAATGCTCCTTACTGCTGCTGTGGCCTTCTGGCTTGTATCTTCATTTTCCAGCACTGGATCTTATCTCTGCTTGCTTCTTTTGTCCTCCGCACCCACCAGATCAAAACGCCAGAATAAACTTGGCAGCCCCAGCCAGAGAGGGAACGGATAGCCTAGGACACACTCCAAGCTGGAAACTTTCCTCCCTCATTGTGCAGGATTTATTCTGGGAACTTCCAGATAAGAGGAAAGTCTTCTCTGCACATGCTCAGGGGTGCCCTGGACTTGCTGCAATTTCCTCTGGGAATTCAGGCTCCAGTTAAGAAGTTCGCAGCTTTTGGCTTGGACTAGGGTACCAGCGAGCTGGGATCTGACTGCCCCCCTCCCCTCGGCCCTGCAATTGGACTTGTCCCCTCTTCCTGTGGAGTGTGGGACTTGCGTGCCATTGTGTGACTTTGTCTGCAGCCTGTGGCTTGTCTACTCACTTCCTCCTCCTTCCTTATTTCATTTATGTATTTATTTGATTTCAAACATGTTTACCTCATCTGAACAGAAGAACATCTCAGGATGGCATACAATGATTAAAACCAATCACAATTACAGTACTATTTACAATCAACAATAATAATGACAATAATTCAATAATGAAACAATAAATAATATTCATAACCTAAACCAAAAGGTGACTGTAGGTGTTAAAAACTCTTTTAAAACCCCCAGTGCTTAAAAGGATGGGTGAATAAAAAGGCTTTTATCTGGCACCGAAAGGAGTATAACCTCGGCACCAGGTGGACCTCTCTGGGGAGTGTGTTCCAGAGTCGGGGTGCCACCACAGAGAAGGCCCTGCTCTGGGTAGACACCCTCTTTACTTCCTTCAGGGAGGGTTCCTGGAGCAAAACCTCTCCTGCTGACCTTCAGGGGCAGGAGGGCATACAGGGAAGGAGACATTCTTTCCTCTCTTCTTTCAAAGATGGTTCTTTTTTAATTGTACTCATCCTTTGCTTTTGTGGCTAACATTGCAAAGATAGGAGTTGCTTCCAAGAGTCCTCAGTATGACGTACGTATGTACGTACATGTGTGTGTGTATTTAAGGATTTTAAATTATTTTAAGATCTGATCACAGTCACATTTTCTTTCTTTTTTCTTCCTTTCCTCCTTTTCTTTAAATTTTGAAAGTGGTTCTTTTATGTTATGCCTATAACTTCATGTTTCAATTATTGTTTTATTGTATTATTGTATTACTATTTTAATCTTTGTAAGCCATCCAGAGGCATTTTTCACAAAGGACGGGATAAAAATGTTTTCAATAAATAAAAAATATTCCGATTTCTACAGCCTTAGACATTTTTATATATGCCACTTAGCGGACACACAAACTTGAGACAGGGATTGCCAATTTTGGTTTGTTGATTTATTTATCTGGGGTATTTCTAACCCATCCAATCACTTCACGGCTCTGGACAGCTTCTGACAATCCATCATCCACCCATCCCGCCTTTCTGAAGTTATTTGTGACCAAATTTGCTCCCCAGAACTGCATTTTTGTCGTCCTTTCATTGGGAACCGTGGCCAGGAGCTTTTCCAATTTGCAAATCGGCATCCCTTCTCTGGGGAAACAGACAAGAGGTTTCCAGAGCATGCCTTTATTCTACTCTTCTTCCTCATTCCCTGAATCTCAAAAAGGGCCTAGCTGAGCTTACGATCCATTTGGGATCAGCCCGTTTTTTCCCCCATAAGGTTCAATGTAAATAAAGTTAATCCATTCTGTAAGCATTTTTTTAAATCAGAAAAATGTGAAGTAAAGTGACAAAGAATGACAGAGATCGCAGCCATCTTCCCCGCACCCACCACCCACCATGACTGTAATTGCACCCATCATCCCTGCACATGCCCATCATCCTGGTGTGTTGGGGTGGGAAGATGGGCGCGATCATGGACGCACTGGAGCGGGAGACAGGTGCAATAGTGCTGGGCAGGGCGATGGCCAAGATCGCAGTTGCAGTCCTGCAGGAGAGACAGGTACAATCACGGGCATGCTCCTGCAGGAAAGACAGGAGTGATCTCGGCCATCTCCCCCCCCCCCACCACCCCCAGCACCATCGTGGCCATCTCCCCACTCGGGGGGGGTGGGGAGACGGTCATGATCATGGTTGCCACCCAATGTGGAGTTCACGACCTGAGTCAAAATTTTTACGAAATTTTTGTTCGCGACCCGCTTTGATCGTGAACTGAGGCATTTGTGAGCTGAGGTACCACCATACCTCCTTTCCTCCTTTTCTTCCATTTTTTTGAAAGTGGTTCTTTTATGCTGTGCCTATTACTTAATGTTTTAATTATTGTTTCATTGTATTATTATATCACTATTTTAACCTTTGCAATCCGTTCTGAGGCATGTTTCGCCATAGACTGGATAAAATTATTTAAAATACAAAAATAAATAAATGCCACTTTAATTATTGTAAGCCATCCTGAGATGTTTTATTGGGAAGGATAGGGTAAAAAGGAATTAAATCAATCAATAAATGATTGGATGAAATGGGGAGAGAGCAGCACTTTACTTTTCTGTGTGGACAGGCAAGTGCCCTGCCGAGGCTCGGTGGGAACTGTTTTTGCACACACTGGGCCATCTCTTTCTTCCCCGTCACTTGTATTTCCTACTGTAGATCCAGTTCTTGGTCCTGTAAGGCCAATCCTTTCTGCTCCCCCAAGGCTTCTCCAAGCTTAAAAAGTGAGGAGAGCCCCCATCCGAAGATGCGCAACGTAATTGGACGGGATAAAAATACCAAAATAAATAAATAAAACGGAGCAAGGCAGGACATTGGAAATAAACACACGGATAAGACAGAGCCCAAGGCCTTTTACTTAATGGGTTTATTTACTTTTAAAACCACCTTTTTCTATGTTGGGACGGTGGCCTTCTGATGTTGTGCAATGCTCTATTTTTATGTTTTGCCGTCAGGAAGGCGAAATAAATACACGTGTCAATTTGAACAGCTATGCTCACTTTTCTTCCCAAAGGAGCATCCTTTGGGGAGCACAAATCCATAAGAGCAATCTCACTAAAATCTCACAGAATCATGGAATAGTCGGGTTGGAAGGGGCCATGAAAGCCATTGAGTCCAACCTCTGCTGTTCCAGGACACCACGTTACACCCTCCCACTCAAATGGCTGTCCGTGCTTCTCTTTGAATGTCTCCTGTGTGGGAGAGCCCACCACCTCTTTTCCTAAAAGAATTAGAAGCTGCATCCGTTTCACTAGCGATATTTTCCATCCTTGGTCTCTAGAGAAACTGCCAAGGACTTTCCATTGGCCCTCTCAGAGGCCCTCTCTGCCTTTCCATGGGAAGCAGAGAGGAGCACAGAGAAAGATATGTGCTGGGGCAGGGGGGTAGCCAGTGTCACTTCTGGGGGAGAACCACGTGGGACCGGGGACAGGTTTTCTCCTACACTGGCTGGAGGAAAGATCTGCTATGGCCGGGGAGCAGGGAGCAGCTTTCCTGGAGATCCTTCGAGCATGTCAGACATCCACCCAGTTTTGGCGATTCAGCAGTCGTGCAAGCTCTCCATTTAGGCATGATTCTGACATGCTTCTTGATGCAGGCATGAAGAGATCACTTCGGGTGCGACTGGTGGCCTCTGCTAATCCCACCCCATGGAAGGATCTTAGAAATATTTGTTGCAAGGGTCCGTTTTACCTCCCCCCCCCCCCCCCCCAGGCATGCTGCTCCCTGGAGGGTCCTGCTTCTCACCTGGATGACCATTGCCGGTGCTACTCAGGTGAGTCCAGATACCACAGAGACCATTCTTGCTCCTCTTGATGGGGTGGAGTCGGAAGGGGTCTCCCGGGACGAGATGGCCTAGGAGGCCCCTTCTGACTTGCTCTGTTTCTGTGTTTCTCTGAGCAGAGCCGGCTGGAGCCGGGGTCAGACTAGATGGTCTGGGAGAACCCTTCTGCCTCACTCGGTTTGCGTGTTCTATGTTTCTTAAAAAGCAGTTTTTGCAAGACAAGGCCCTGCACTCCTCCATCTTCAAGAGCTGCTCTTTTTCTTTCATACTATGTACTATTGTATTTCAATGTATTTTATCATGTTGTAAGCCGCCCCGAGGTTTCGGCAAGGGGCGGCATAGAAATGTTATAATAATAATAATAATAATAATAATAATAATAATAATAATAATAATAATACTCTTTCTCACATACATCCACACACACATCTTCCACCTTTACTTTCTTCCACAGTTTGGATGTGTCTTTCTTTCGGAGAGCCATTGCTTAGTCCAGTGATAAATATTTAATTCTTTTGACCTTCATAGTTGGGTTCCGTCCAGACCGAACCTTCCCCCCTCCATTCCCCCAACTATGCATCTGGTCACTTTGGCAGCGAGCTGTTGGAGAAGAAGGCTTCCCAACCAACTCCAGCTTCCATCGTCCTGTAATTTCAGAACTTGATTAGGTGCCCAGTGGGTGGGGAGGAGCTCAGGCGTGTGTATGCCGGTTGGGCTCTGTCCATGTATAGGCCTTGACAAGGAAACACATGAGAAAATTCCGTTCTTGATTTCTGGCAAGAAGTAAAGCAGATGTTAAGAGGAGTCTCCAGAATTTAATAAGATCAGTGGAGTGGACAAAAAGCAAAGAAACAGAAAATTACTAAGACAGTGCTGGAGAGAAAGAAATGTAGAAATGTAGAAACAGAGCGCGTCAGAAGGGGTCTACCAGGCCATCTAGTCTGACCCTGGCTCCAGCCAGCTCCATTCACAACATGCCTACCATGTGCATGTCTAGCCTATCCTTGAACACGCGCACCGATGGGGTCTCAGCCACCTCCCGTGGAAGCCCATTCCATACACTCGGGGTCCTGACTGACAGGAAGGAGTTTCTGGCATCCAAATTGAACCTTGGTTCCTTGAGCTTGGTTCTGTTGGAGCACGTCCTGCCCACCTCTGCAGGGGAGAACAGGTCTCTCCCCACCTTCTTGGGACACCCCCTCAGATACTGATATGTTGCCAACAGATCTCCTCAGAGTCACCTCTTCTCCAGGCTGTAAAGACCCAGATCCCTCCGTCTCACCTCATACGGCTTCCCCTGCAATCTGGCCACCGTCCTTGTGGCCCTTCGCTGCACCAGTTCCTACCTGGCTATATGAGGGCCCAGCACTGGTTCTGTTTTGAACCAACTGAAGTATCTGGACCATTTTCAAGGGCAGCCCCACGTAGAACATGTTACAGTAGTCCAACCAGTAGGTTCCTAGAGCATGTGTCTCCATTGCCAGGCAGTGCTCGTCCAGGTGAGGATGCAGCGGATGGGCCAGCTGAAGCTGGACGAAGGCACACCTTGCCACCACTGCCACCTGGGCCTCCCAGGACAGCTCTGGGTTGAGGAGCACTCTCAAGCTGCGGACGCTGTCCTTTATGGGGTGCAACCCCATCCAGGACAGGGCTGAAGCCATATGCCTGGATTTCCATCCTGTCCCTCTTGCTGTGAGACAGGACAGGAGGAGCAATCATTCCTGAAGGAGTGTCTCCTTCCCTATTGTGTAAGCTGTCCTGTGACATTTTATCATAAAGGACAGGATAGAAATGTTTTATTAAATTAAAAAATATGCTGTCCAGCCCCTTACGGTACGCAGGAGAGGCTCTGCTCTGGGAACCCTCCCTGAAGGAAGTAAAAAGGGTGTACACCTGGAGCAGGGCCTTCTTTGCAGTGATGCCCAGACAGTGTAATGTGCTCCCCAGAGAGGTCTGCCTGGCACCGACTTTATCCTCTTTTTGGTGCCAGGCAGACACTTTTAATCAAAAACTTTTTCTTTAACCAAAATTTTAAGCACGAAGGATTGAAGATTACAGTTGTTCTGCTGAATTACAACTGTTATTTATTTATTGCTTTATTCTTGATAGTTTTAATTCTTGTATTACTATTGATGATTTTAATTTTATTATTATTACTGCTTTGAATTATTGTGAGCCATCCTGAGACATTTTATCAGGAAGGATGGGGTAGAATTGTTTTATTCAATTAAAAGTAAAAATGTTTTAAGCATTTCAGGATTAGTATTATCCCACCCCTTTGGAGTGTGCTGACCTGGACATCTTTCTTTAAGTAGGGAACAGACAAAAGGTCCCCGGAGTCTGACCAGGCCCTCCAGGTCCACCACAGCCGCCCGCCAGGCCACGGTGCATGGTCCCACTGGGGCAGCTGGAGTGCTTGTTCCAGCACCTGTGGAGATGGAGCCTCCTTCCGAACCAGGAGATGCATCAGGTAAGCAGGCGGTAACTGCACAGTGCAGATCCAGCTGCCGTGTGGCTGACACCCCTTTGCCCATGTGGCTTGGCCAGAAGGACTCCCAGTAGGACTGGAGTGGAATTGTCCAGACCGGAGGTGATGGATTGATTTAATCCATTTTTCTGTCACCCATAACCCAAAGGCTCATTCATCATTTTAATAATTAAGGATTTTAGATGTTTTAAAATTTGATTACATTCACCCTCCCTCCCTCCCTCCCTTCTGTTTTCTTTAGTTTTATGGAAGTGTTTGTTCTATGTCTTGCCTGATATTAATAGTTTTAATTATTGTAATACTACTATTTGAATTAGGGTAAGTTGTCCTGAGAAGTTTGGGAAGGACGGGATAAAAATGTTTTAAATAAATAAGTAAATAAATAAATATGCTCAGATATTTAAAAAAAATCAAACAAAGCACTTTATACAGAGCACCTTCGCTCCTTATGGGGTGGTGATACCAGCAGCCAAGATGGGTTTATTTTCTGTGCATATCATGCCTGTGAATTTGTGTCTAGTGGATCTGCTCAGAGGGGTATGGGATTTGGAAGAAGGGGGTGACCCGTCTACTGTTCAGATTTGCAGAGGATACTAAAACGGTGGTTGTGGCCACGACTGAGGAGCAGGTACTCCAGATGCAGAAGGATCTGGACAGACTATGGAAGTGGGCAGGAGACAACAAGATGGCGTTCAGTGTGGATAAGTGCTCGGTCTTGCACTTGGGGCAGAGGAATGGGGGCCAGAAGTGCAGGTTGGGGGAGAAGTGGCTGGAGAGCAGCACTTGTGAAAGGGGCCTCGGGGTGCTGGTTTATTACAGGCTAAACATGAGCCCTGCTTCATGGATCACTGCCCTGTCATGGCAAAGGGCTCGTGTAGTTCAATGAAGCTATGAGTTATGCTGTGCAGGGCCACCCAGGACGGATAGGTTATAATAGAGAGCTCTGACAAAAGGTGATCCACTGGAGAAGGAAATGGCAACCCACTCCGGTATCCTTGCCATGAAAACCCCATGGATAGAATCATAAAGATAAAAGATATGACACCAGAAGGTGAGCCCCTCAGGTTGGAAGGTGTCCAATATGCTACTGCGGAAGAGCGGAGGGCTAGTCCTAGCAGCGCCAGAAAGAGTGAAGCGACTGGGTAGCCCCACGTAGAGCGTGTTACAGAAGTCAAGGCGGGAAGTCACCAGCGCGTGTGTCACCGTCGCCAGGCAGTCGTACTCCAGGTAGGGGCGCAGCTGATGAATCAGCCGAAGCTGGAGGAAAGCGCTCCTCGCCACCGCTGTCACCTGAGCTTCCAGTGAGAGCTCCGGGTCGAGGAGCACTGCCAGGCTGCGGTCCTTGTCCCTAAGAGGGAGTGCAACCCCATTCAGGACTAGGTTCACCCTCTTGATCTCTTTCAAGGAGGGCTTCCGGAGCAGGGCCTCTGCCTCAGAACGTAAGGGGCGGGAGGGCATATGGGGAGGTTTTTTTTGACTTTTGCATATAGGATGGGATATAAATATTTTAAATAAATAAAAAGACATTCCATCAGGCCTCCTGGTCCCAGGCCGTTTAGGGCTTTCTAGGTCAACACCAGCACCTTAAATTGTGCCCGGATTTCAGTGGGGAGCTAGTGAAGCTGGTAGAGGACCAGCATGATATGAGAATAGTGACTGGCCCCCAACAGCGATCGGGCAGCTCTGCTTTGCACCGATTGAAGTCTTCGGAGTGTCTTCAAGGGCAGCCCCATGCAGCGTGCATTACCGTAGTCTAGCTGGGAGGTTTCCAGAGCATGTGTCTCTGTTGCCAGGCAGTGCTCGTCCAGGTGAGGTTGCAGCTGATGGGTCAGCAGAAGCTGGAGGGAGGCGCTCCTTGCCACCGCCGCCACCTGGACTTTCTGGGACAACTCCGGGTCAAGGAGCACCCCCAAGATGCAACCCTGTTTTTTAGGGGGAGTGCAACCCCGTCCAGGACCGGGCCAGAATCACTTACCTGAAAACCTGAACCTCCCACCAAAAGGACCTCCGTCTTATCAGGATTGAGCCTCAGTTTATCGGCCCTCATTCTGCCCATGTGCTCTCGCTAATGTATTATTGTTGCCTTGAATCCAGTTTTTATCCCTGTGTTTTCTAACTCTCCCTCTAGTGGTTAGCTGAGTGCACTTTTCTTTCTGCAAAGGTGGACTACAAAGGAAAAATAAGTAATAATTGAAAATTCAGTAACAATGAGTAATAATAGTAGTAGTAGTATTTCGTACTGCTAGTATAAATAATAGTAGTAGTAACAATAAAAATAATTAGTAATAATAGTAATAATTGAGAATGCATTCCTAGAGCGTTCGGTGGCTCAGCCCCAAGGTGTGGGCAGTGGACTCCACACCTTTGGTGGCTTGTGCAGTGGAGAAGTCCTTCCTGGTGATCTTGTAACTGGAGGAGGTGAAAAGCAGCAGATGCGTAGGACTTCTCGGAGAAATGTGAGGGCTCATCTCAGTTTCTGAATGCAGGTTCCCTGAGGAGGAGTTGTGTCGAGGGAAGCCTAGGCAGTACCGCGTGTGTGAACAAGACGTGAGTATCTGCCTATGAAAGAGCATCTTGCAAAGCGCTTAGTATGGGAAGGAGAATCATAGAATCATGGAATAGTAGAGCGGGAAGGGGCCATGAAGGCCATCGGGTCCAACCCCTGCTGTTGCAGGACACCAATTTCCACCATCCCACTCAGATGACCATCCAGTTTTTTCTTGAATGTCTCCAGCATGGGAGAGCTACCACCTCCCCAGGCAGCTGGTCCCACTGCTCTGGCAGTGAGGAAGCTTTTCCTGATGTCCTGCCTGAATCTGGGTTGCCGCAACTTGAATTCATTATTCTGTGTCCTGCAGTCTGGAATCAGCAAGAAGAGATCTTGACCTCCCTCTTTGTGATAGCGCCTTCCACTTTCCCCTTGCGACCTGCTTCTCCTCCTCCTTTCTCTGCCTACAACAGAGGAAACGGGCCAAATTGCTGAGGATCCACCAAGCAGAGGAGGAGCTGGTTCTGGGGACAGTGAGGGGGCAGACTCCCCAAGTCGGGGGGCCACAGAGGGAAACCTGCCCTGGGGCCCTTCAAACCTTGGCTCCTCCATTGCCTTTTGTGGTTAATCCGTTCAGAGAAGCTAGCCATCTCCAGATGTTCTGTTCTATTTATTTATTGTCCCAAAATGTTCTGAACGGTATGGACCAGAAAAGCGTGTGTGTATGTATGTATAAATGTATGTGTATGTGTATGTATGTATGTATGTATAAGCGTGTATGTATGTATGTATGTATGTATAAATAAATAAATAAAATAGGGGGGCTGTTCCCTGCCTTGGAGCGTCCCCACTTTGCTGTACTGTTCAGAGACACTTTGGGGGCAAGTGCCACTGGGCAATTGCCAGAGCCAACTGGGACGGCCCCAAGCCTCTGTATGACCTCTGCCTGGCCAGGCTGGAGGCCACTGTGGGACGAACAGGATGCTCCTCAGGAGGCCCAGGAGAGGTGGCCTCCCCCTTTTCAGGCCAGGCCGCGCCCAGCACCCAGGCTGGGTCTTGGGGCCACCTCTTGGATCTTTGGCACCGTCTGATCTTTGGTCGCCTTTCTCCCTCTCTGCTGCAGGACTGCCCTGCCGGCTCAGCACCTTTCCGGGAGATCCAGTGTTCCCTCTACAATGAAAAACCCATTCTTGGTGGCCAGATGCTCTATGAGTGGACCCCATTCCATGGAGGTGAGCTCAGCATGGCAGGCTCTTGCCTCACTTTCACTGGAAGAACTTTCTCACCAAATCTGCTTTCATCCTTTTCTCTTTGCTTGAGACATCCTGAGTTTTTGTGTGTTGGAGTCAACTGTGGAAACCTCTGAGAATTAAGGAACCTCTGAGAATTAAGGAACTGGGAAACAGCAGCCAGGAAAGTGAAATGGGAAATGGACTCAAGCTTCCATCCCTACTCTAATCAATATTTCTTCCTTCCCAAATATTCTCTTCACCGGAAAATTTTCCACAAGAGCCAGCCCTCCGCTCAGTTCACTGTGTTATAGAAGTAGTTGCTGTTTTTCAAGGAAAAAAATTCAAGGATCAACTCCATTGTGAGACGGATGAACAAAAATAAAGATGAGGCATAAAGGGGTTTTGAAAATATAGATTCATATAGGTCCTGAAAAAGACCAGGGGTTTCTGTCCTGCAGGAGGCACTTAGAAACACAGGAAGTGAGTGAGGCAGAAGGGGCCTCCTGGGGCATCTAGTCTGATCCTGGCTCCAGCCAGCTCTGCTCAGAGAAACCGAGAAAGCAAGTGAGGCAGAAGGGGCCTCCCAGGCCATCTAATCTGACCTCAACTCCAACTGGCTCTGCTCAAAGAAACAAAGAAAAAGAGTGAGGCAGAAGGTGCCTCCTAGGCCATCTAGTCTGACCCCAGCTCTAGCCAGCTCCACTCACGACATGCACTAAATTTGGGACAACCCAGAAAGATTTTGTTATAATTAAAAATGAAAAGTTTCCCTGATTCTTGAGGTCAAGGGTCCACCACCTCTTCACCCCAAGGGACAAATCCAATTTTGGAGAAACTGGCAGGGGGGGTATTCTGGGCTGGGGGGCAGGGCAGAGACAAAAGAGGCAGGGTACAAATGCCAGTATAATACTATGCTAGTAGCTAGGTCTTCTGAAAGGTTTTTCAAGAAGAGAAAAGGACTGAGACACACCAAAGAAATGGTGTTTATGGGGAAGGGAGTGCGCCGTATGCAAACAGAATAGCACCCTTGACAAAGATGAGCAAAGAAACATTTGCAATCGACTAAAAAACCCAGAACATATTTAAGTCCGTTCATTGTTCTTTTAAAATCTCTTTCCTGCCTTTTAACCAATGGTTTCTGCAGCAAAATTGTGATAAAATTGCTTTCTTTCAACAAAGAAAAGGCTTCCTGCTAAAGGATCCCCCTTCCGTCCTTCCGTCCTTCCGTCCTTCCGTCCTTCCTTCCTCTCTCACACCAGAAAACCTTTTTTAAAATGGTCCCGGTTGCACTAAGAAACTTTGCTTTCGGCCCCATAGATCGGTCCTCAGTTCATCAACGAAACCCCCATTGGACTAATTTCTTTTTTTCCTATTGGATTAGAGTCAGCTTTCTCACCCAACTGAGGGTCATTGAGCATCCTCTTCTAAATATCTGAGTTTGGCAGACAGATAGCCAATACTGGGCTTCTTGCCTTCCACATAATGTTGAGGTTGGAAAGGACGGAATCATGGTTGGAAGGGGCCATGAAGGCCATCTAGTCTAACACCCTAGATCAGTGGTGATGGACCTATGGCACGCATGTTGCAGCCGGCGCGCAGAGCCGCCTCTATCAGCACACAAGCCAAGTCGCCCCAGCATCGCCCCAGCAGCTGAGCATCAGATAACAGCGCACACAGGGGCCATGCGCACACTCAGAAAGGAGTAGCAGCACCAGGCGACGATGTCATGTGCCAGGACTCATTAGCCAGGACTCATTTATTTATTTTTTATTTCTTTATTTTTTCGATTTATATCCTGCCTTTTTCCTACCAAGGGCTCAAGGCAGCTTACATCATTCTCCTCCTCCATCTTATCCCCACCACAACAACCCTGTGAGGGAGGTTGGGCTGAGAGGCTGTGACTGGCCCAAAGTCACCCAGTTGGCTCCATGGCCGAGCGGGGACTCGAACCCGGATCCTCTGAGTCCCGGTCCCACGCTCTTAACCACGACGCCACCCTGGCTCTCCATTTGAGCTTTCGATTGGCCTGTCAGTGCGCTGCCAAGGATATATATATTTGCTCGGGCTGGCTGTGAATTTTAATACATTCGTTTTTATTAGCACAAGATTTTAGCTTTGAGTTTTCTTACGGAAATTTGGAATTTATTATCTGAGATTTAGCAAAGGGATGGTCTGATTAAGAGGCTGAGATTCTTTTTTATGTTGTGCTGTCCCCCTGGCATATTTGAAGCTGCGGCATCCTATTTAGTTGTTTTTTCTAAACTAAAACCTCCGTATTCAAGTTTCACTACAGTGCTGGCACCTTGCGATAAATAGGTGGGTTTTGGATAGCAGGTTGGGCACTCAGTCTCTAAAAGGTTCGCCATCACTGCCCTAGGTCATAGAAGTCTCACGTTCACTGTTTCCATAGGCGTTCACCTCTCATCCAAAGGTGCCCACTTGGGTATTTACACACACTTATTCTCATTTGTATTATCATGTAAGTATTAATGTCAACAATATTATTTATTTATATGTAATTATATATTAATATTATTCTTTTACCATTCAATCCATCCATCATGGGTCGCAAGGGATATCCTAAATGTGTCCATCTGGCTGATGAGCTTAACTGGGGCTTATTTTGGGGGTAGGGCTTACATTCCGAGCATCTGAAAAAATCATGCTAGGGCTTCTTTTCCGATTAGGTCTTATTTTCAAGGAAATAGGTCAGTAACACTTCAAAAAGTAACATGGAGCATGCCCAATACTTATTTTTGGTAACTGCCGCTCACAAGTGACAAATCCCGTCTAACGTTTCCTCTGTCTTTTCACTTTTTGGATGCTCTCAGATATTTTTCACTTCTGTGGCTTTTAATGTGTTATTTTGTTATCTTTTTTAAAAAAAATTAAATCTTTTTTACACAATAACAATATTTAAAAATATTTTTAAAATATTGTGGGCCTTTATTGCCTGTTTCTTCTACATTTTGCTGTTTTATTGCATTGTGTTTTGTTATTGCCTTGACCTCTGAGCAAAAGCAGGATAGCAATTCTTAACAATTAGAGAAAGGAACCTCTGCTGCTGTTTCCCATATCCAAGGAATCGCGTGTGTGTGTCTGTCCATGATCACCCACCTGCTTTCCTCTGCTCTTTGTCCAGCTCCCAACCTCTGTGACCTAAATTGCCTGGCAGTGGGACACAATTTTTACTACTCCTTTGGACGGGTGTTGGATGGGACCCGCTGCAGCCCAGAGTCTCGGGACCTTTGTATCAGTGGCCGATGCTTGGTGAGTTGCGGTGATCTCAAGCATGGCGGTGGATGGGCAGAAAAAGTTCTCCTTTGCAATTGCAGGAGACACGTGTAGGTTTTGAGGCCATGGGGTCCCTAGAGCAAAGATCCATGATTTAAAAAGACACCTTTGATCAAACAAGAGGAATCAGTTGCCTATGCTGAAGAGGGACATTTTAAAATGAAATGGACATTCTCTGGAAAGTGTAAGGTGTAGTTAACACCTCATTATAGAAACATAGAAACAGAGCGAGGCAGAAGGGTCCTCCTAGGACCCCCGGCTCCAGCCAGCTCCACTCACAACATGCCCACCATGTGCATGTCCAGCCTAGCTTTGAACACCCTCATCGATGGGGCCTCAACCACCACCCATGGAAGCCCATTCCATACCCTCGGGGTCCAAACTGTCAGGAAGTGCTTCCTGGCATCCAAATTGAACCTTGGTTCCCTGAGCTTTGCTCCGTTGAAGCACATCCTGCCCTCCTCTGCAGGGGAGAGCAGGTCTCTTCCCCACCTCCATGTGACACCCCCTCACATACCTATATGTCACTAACAGATCCCCTGGAAGTCTCCTCTTCTCCGTGCTGAAAAGACCCAGTTCCCTCAGTCTCGCCTCATATGGCTGCACTGATTCTAACCTGGCTATATCCTTCCTGTAACGAGGGGCCCAGAACTGAACACAATACTTCAGTTGCGGGTGCACCAAAGTTGTACAGAATGGTAGTAATACCTCTCTCGATCCAGAAGCCACACTTCTGGCCATGCAACCAAGGGTGGCGTTCGCCCTCTTGGCCACCGCATCCCACTGCTGACTCAAGTTCAGCCTGCAGTCAACCAGCACCCCGAGGTCCCTTTCACAAGTGTTGCTCTCCAGCCACTCGTCCCCTAACCTGTACTTACGACACACATTCCTATGCCACAAGTGCAAGACCTTGCACTTATCCACACTGAACGCCATCCTGTTGTCTCCTGCCCACTTCCACAGTCTGTCCAGACCCTCCTGGATCCAGAACACCTGCTTCTCTGCTGTGGCCACCACCCCATTTTAGTATCGTCTGCACATCTGATCAGCAGACGGGTCACCCCTTCTTCCATGTCACTGATGAAAAGACTGAACAGGATCAGCCCCAGGACAGAGCCCTGGGGGACCCCACTCATCACTGGCCGCCATCCTGATGATTCCCCAATAATGGTCACCCTGAATAAGTTTCTGAATCAAAAATTAAATAAGATTGGTCCTGATTTGTGGGAGGGGAAACAATTGGTCAGTGCTATAATTGCTTCATTTAACAAACTTTCTTCCACGTTCAAAAAAGAATGAGCATCTAAAGCATTTGAATCCTCACCCATCAATCCCAGTTATTACAATAGTTATAACAAGACAGGGTATAAAGCACCTTGTACGTATGTAAAACAGAACTACGAGGATGCTGTTGAAGGGCTTGAGTACCTCTAAGGAACCAACACAAGCAGGGAAAGGGCTGCTAAAAGAAGTACAGTGGTACCTTGGCTTGCAAACTTAATCCATTCCAGGACTCTGGTTGTGACCCAAATTGGTCATGAGCCAAGTCAAATGTCCCCATCAGGGTCAATGTAAATAAAGTTAATCCGTTCTGCAACTATCTTTTTTACTCACAAAAATGTGAAGCAAAGTGACAAAGAACAGCAAAGATTGTGGCCATCTCCCCCCACAGCAATCATGGTGGGGGGGGGGGTGGAAGGAGACAGGCACGATTGCAACCATCTCCCCCCCCCCACAAACCTGGTCATCTCTGCCCCCACAGCATGACTGGGATTGCCCAGTGCAGGGAAGGCGGGCGCGCTCACAATGGCCACCTGATGCAGAGATTGTGACCTGCGGTAATTTTTTAATGAAATTTCTGATTGCGACCCAAATTGGTCGTGAACTGAGGCCTTCGTGAGCTAAGGTACCACCGTACATGATGCTCCTCTAGAAGTGTGAAAGGGCTTCCCAAGCCCTCCCCAAGGAGAGCACGTCTCATTTTTCATTCCTCCACCAGGATGTACCTTCCCGTTGGAGCTCAAGCAAGCGGGAACAAAGAAATGCTCTGCTTATGTCCAGTTCTGCCCTTGATACGTATGACAGGTGATTCCTCCTCTTTGTCATCTCGCCAGAGAGCAGGCTGCGACGGGATCCTGGGCTCCAACGCTCAAGCCGACGCCTGCGGCATCTGCGGTGGCAGGAACGAGTCGTGTGTCTTCGTGCGGCAGGTTTTCCGGGTGGCGTTCCCCACCTCTGGTGATTGAATGCCCTGACGTTCTCCGTGGGTGAATGCTACGGCTTTTGGCTTTGTTGTTCTCCCTTTGGCCCGTCCCCTCTCCCTCCACGCCCATCCTCCCTGATCCCGAAGCCCAAGCCCAACACTTGCTTTGCTTAGAGCTGCTCTTGCATCTGTTTGAAAGGTGGCATTTTGGGGGACATCTCTGGAGATTGGGTGTCAGTCGGCCCCGGAAGCCTCTCCCCCAGCACTGTGTGTCCTGCGGACACCTCAGACCCCTGCCAACCCCTCCACACGGTTCCTGGCTGCCTCTCCCCATTTCTCCCCCTTTGCCACTTATGGGACCTCTCGTGGAAGCCCCACTCACCCATTCCCCTGGCTGTGTCTTCTTGGGCCCCTACACTTGATCATCTCCTCTGATCCTTTGGTAGGTTCCTTTGGCTACCAGAACGTCACGCGGATCCCAGCTGGAGCAAGGCACATCAAGGTGACAGAGGACAGCCACAGCTATCTGGGTAGGTAGGGGGGAGGGGGCAGCTCGGCTCACTCTCGTTCCACCCAGCCCCAGGTTTTTCTTCAGGCAGCTGATTTTTTGCAAGGCACCGTAATTTTAGAATGAGTTAATCTGTCGAAAGCCATGTCTGTTTCAATGCTGTTTGTTTCTTTCTTTCTTTCTTTCTTTCTTTCTTTCTTTCTTTCTTTCTTTCTTTATGGATTTATATCCTGCCTTTTTCCCACAAAGGGCTCAAGGCAGCTTCCATCATCTCTCCTCCTCCATCTTATCCCCACAACAACAACCCTGTGAGGTAGGTTGGGCTGAGAGACTGTGACTGGCCCAAAGTCACCCAGTTGGCTCCATGGCCGAGCGGGGACTCGAACCCAGATCCTCTGAGTCCCAGTCCCACGCTCTTTCTGGGAATTTACTCTTTTCCCTTCCCTCTCTTCTTTACTGTCGTATCTGGGTATTGTTAATTTGAGGACTGTCCTCTTGTAAGCTGCTCTGGGAGCCACTTCAACAGAAGAGCAAAATAAAAATGCT